ACTATTGAGCATTACAAGTTGGATCCAGAGACCGTAGTGTTCCAGCATGACAATGACCCGAAGCATACATGCAAGATGGTCAGAAATTACCTTGCCAAGCAGCCGTACACTGTGCTCCCATGGCCAGCGGGTAGTCCGGACCTCAACCCCATAGAACATCTGTGGGTTTACTTGAAGAAGCAGGTGCTTGCTTACCCCCACCCCCCTGCAGGCATTCTCGAGCTATGGGACAGAGTACAAGTGGAATGAGAGAAAATCCCTGCGGCTTGGTGCAGTGAGCTGATCAACAGCATGCCTAGGCGTGTGCGGGCTGTGCTCAAGGCCAAGGGTAGTTGGACCAAGTACTAGATTCTGCTTGCTTTGCATGTGTGACTGCAATTGTAAAAAACTGTCCATATGCTAGTATTTGCCTATTTGTACATTGTCTGCAGTATAACCGAGTTTATGGCCAACATGCAGCGTGTTTAGATGTACAACCCTTCACGCTTTAACCTCATGTGGTCCAGTTATTAAGGCTTAACCACCATGGCCACTAATGCCCGTTCATGTCTTGAAACATGAACATATGGACAATTATTTCGTTCAGTGTATCTCAGCCCCACAGCTGAAGGTGAGAACAGAAGACGAGCGCGTAGACCGCCACGAAACACAGCATGAGCCAAGGTTGAAGGTGTAACCCTATGACGACCGCTGTGTCAGCTGGTCGTCAGCCCAAGAAGCGTCTGCGTGACCTGTGAGGACCACTCGACGTCGCCCTCCAAGCACTAGCCCCAAGCCCCACGTACTGCACACGTAGCGCAACACCCTCTTCGCTGCAGCCATGTGCTCTGGTCAGTGTCTCCCAGGAGCAACATAGCGTGCCAAGATGCTAAGAGGGTATGCAAGGTCAGGTCGAGTGCAGATCATCAGGTACATGAGGCAGCCAACAAGCTCTAGGTATGGGCCACTCGGCTCTACGGACTCATCCGAAGGTAGAGCTGAGAGCGAGTGGCGAGTAGACAAAGGAGTGGCCTGAGGCGAGGAGTACGTGAAGTCGAAGCGCTAAAGGACCTGCTGCACCATGTGTGACTGAGTCAGGGTAATGGTGCGCTATGCTCTGTCCTGGGTGATCTACAAGCCAAGGTAGCTGCGCAGTTCACCCAGGTCTGTGCACTTGTGTCTCTTCTACAGCCCGGACTTCACGTGGGCGAGTCCAGCAGTGTCAGCAGTGGCAAAGACCAAGTCGTCGACGTACACGAGGATGTAGAACAACGGCAAAGAGGTGTCGGTGCGTAGAAACAGCGACGGGTCAGCAGTAGAAGGAGCAAACCCAAGAGCCGCAAGTGTAGTCCTCAGTGTGTCGTGTCACTCACGGGGCGCCTGGCGGAGACCGTAGACTGGCCGCCAGAGGCTCCACTGGGCACCAGGAGGAAACGACCCAGTGAAGCCAGATGTGCGGCGCAGCCAGATCTCCTCGTGCAGGCTGCCCTGCACGAAAGCAGTGCTGAAGTCAAGAGAGTGAAGCTCGTAGTCGCGGTGAGCGGCTATGTGCAGTAGCACCCGAAGAGTGGTCATCTTCGGGGTGGGAGAGAAGGTCTGAAAGTAGTCAACTCCCTGGCGCTGACTGAAGCCTCGAGCCACGTAGCGCGTCTTGAAGACAGGCGGAGAACCCGGCGGCCGCTTCACCCTGAAAATCCACATGCCACTGACGATGTTCACGCCAGGTGGGGGAACCTCGTCGACGTAGGTGCCTGTGGACTTCCAGGAAGCCATCTTTGCATCCATGGCCGACTGCCACTAAGAGGAGTAGGGACCCTCGATCGCCACAGTGTACGATCAAGGAGTCGGGATGTCTGGTGCATCCGGGTCTCCCTCAAGGGCAATCAGCGTGGACACGAGATGAGGCAAAGCAGGAGCAAAACACTGGACTTCCTCCTGCTTGTCCTCAAGGACATCCGTGCTAAGAGCACACTCACCCCCGACGGACGGAGGACAGACAGACGCAGACTCAGCAACAAGACTAGTGGCGTAGTTTAGACGACAGCGAGCAGCGAAGTCGACAATCTCAGCCACTAAGGCAGACACAGCAGTGGTCTCAAAGGAAGGGTCAGTGACAACAGTCGCCAGGAGACACGTGACAGTAAGACTGGCAGCACGAAGAGGGTCAGACTGGAAGCGTGAAGGTCTGGCGGATGCCCTGTTCCCGAACGAAGGCTCCCAGACGGGCAGAGGAAAACTCCCCGACTCTGTCAGAGTGCAGACGCAGAACAGGAAAGTCCGAGCCGAAACTCTCCCTGGGCTGGAAACGAGCTGCGCGGATCTAGTCGATCAACACCTCAGTCACGTCGCCCTTGCTGCGCAAGGGGAAGACCGTGGTGTAACGCGAGTAGTCCTCAACCACCAACAGGAAGTAACGCTCCTGCCCCTGGCCACAGACGCGGGCGGGGCCCCACACGTCCATGTGAAGAGTCTGCAGCGGAGCCTCTGTCGAAGGAAACTCGGAGGAGTGAGGGGCGGCGCGGTGTCGCCCCTCAACGCAGGGGACGCAGGTAGGGCCAGCCCCCGAAGGTAGAGGAGGGAGAGACTGGGGGAGACCAGAGACAAGGACACGGGAGGCCATGCCTCGGAGACGAGGCAGGGAGGGGTGTCCAAGGCGGTGGTGCCAAAGGAGAGTCTGGTGAGACAGGAGACGACACGAGCAGGGAGCAGACTCAGGACTAGACTTGGACGCAGCAGCAAACACCTCAATCGACGCAGTGACCTGACCAGGCTCAGCAGCTGGAGGAGACTCAGTAGTGAGGGTGTACAAGCTCGACCCTGGCCGACGGGTGAACGTGGCCAAGTTTTGGCCTGTCCGAGCACACGTGCAGTGGGTCACCCGCTGACTTGCAGGAGTGAACTGGTCAACCCCCCTATCTTGTAGATTAGCTCCACTCACCAAGTTCGTAGAGAACGAGGGGAGGTAGAGACCTGACAGGGTGCCAAAGGGGGCTGCCAGACACGGTAAGACAGTGGAGAAGCGAGCAAGGATAGGACCCCCAAAGGGGTCCGCCACGGAGACCGCAACCGGCCGACTAAGCGGCGTAAGTGTGGTGCGGTCCCGAAAGAAGGAGCGGGAAGCACCCGAGTAAAGGGTGAAGGTGTGTAAGGCCTGAGCCGACGTGGTACCTGAGAGGGCGGACCCACCAGCACCTGGGGCAGCAGACGCACTAGCACCTAGAGCAGCAGCCTCACCAGCACCTAGAAAAGCAGGCGCAATGCCCGGGTCACGCGGAAAACACAGGTTACAGTCACCCTCAACAGTATGAGCAACAGCATACATGGCAGCAAGAATAACATCAAAATCAAGATCAAATATAGCAACCCCCGCCCTAGACAGCTCTCCCCAGCGAGGGATCTCAGAGGCCCCAGGGAACTGGTGACGCCACGTGTCCGTCAAGCGCCCGAAGCAGCGCTGGGTGGAGTGCGGGCCCCCGCACTGCTCACCAGCGCGGTCGCCGGTGCGGAGAACGTAGGTGCAGGGAACCGTACCCCCACCGCGCTAACGCGCAGCGTACCACTCACGAAGCTGCTGAGGGGACAGGGTCTCACGACTGCTCTTCTGCTGCTGGCGCGTACCACCACCGGAGCCACTCCTTTGCGCCGAGCCGCGACCAGGTCCACTGCTGCCGCTGCCGCCTCCGCCACCTCCGCCGCCTCCGCGACGTCCACCACCTCCGCCGCCTGCGCTCCCTCCGCCACCGCCGCCGCCTCCTCCGCCTCCACTGCTGCCACCGACACCTCCACCCCCGCCACCACTCCCACCACCACCCCCACCCCCTCCACTGCCTCCACCACCACCTCCACTGCCCCCTCCAGCGCCCTTGCCCCTTTTGCCCTTGCCGGTGCGGTGTCTCCCACTCGGGGCAGACGCAGCGCCGACCGACTCGAAACCAACGAGGTCGGCCGCAGCAGCAGACGCAACAGAGGGCAAGAGGGGGGAGGGGGAACACCCCTCAAAGATGGGGGTGCGAGGGTCACCACGAGAGGCTCCTACAACCACTATGCTCTTCTTTGCTGCTAGGAGGCCCTTCTCAAGGAGGTCAGCGGTGAGAGTGGCGGGGCAAACTGAGAGGAAGTGGTCCCTGACTACGCGGAGAGAGTGAGGGAGCCGGGTGACTACGTAGTAGAGGGTGATGTACATGGGGGTGGGGGTTCTTGGCGCAGAACTCAGTAGGAAGCGCAGTTCGGTAGCGAGTGTCACTAGTGCGGAGGTGCGTAATGAGGTCAGCGACTGTGGGAAAGGCAGCAAGGTCAGGAAGAGGTACGGTAGCATGAGGCGGCTCAGTGCAGTAGTGGCAGGGGAAGAGTAGCGTGCAACCACAGCGTCGTACAAGGTCTGAGCACTCTTGTACTGACTAAAGTGTGCACGCTCAGTGGTCGGTAAGTGGCGACGCACAACAAGGCGAGCAGCAGCATCGCGTGTGGCCCACTATGAGCAAACAGTGCTATCAGCAGTAGTAGGTGGGGCAGGAGAGACACCAGAGGTGAGATCGAACAGAGAGAGTCCGTCTGCCCTATCGCACTGGAGAAACAGCTGGAGGTCATCGACCCAGACCTCAAAGTCAATAGCATGGCCCTCAGCATCAAAAGTAAGGACACTGGGGGTAGCCATAACTGCAGTGACCTAGTAGGGAGTGAGCTCACCAGTCTGAGGAAGGAGGGCCGGGGCGCACCACCAGGAACAGCAGCGGCTCGACAGTAGGGCAGCTTGGCGGCTCGGCGACTTGTCGGCAGGGCGGCTCGGCGACTTGTCGGCAGGGCGGCTCGACTGCTGGGCGGCTCGACTGCTGGGCGGCTCGGCTGCTGGGTGGCATGGCGGCTCGGGTGGTGGGCGGCTCGGCTGCTCGGCTGCTGGGCGCCTCGGCTGCTCGGCAGGTGGGCGGCTCGGCTGTTGGGCGGCTCGGCTGCTGGGCAGCTCGGCGGCTCAGTCGTTGGGCGGCTGAGCGGTGACAGGGCCGGTAGAGACAGCGACGTGGCTGCTAGGGGAGGGCAACAGGGCCGCAGGTGATGGTGACGGGGCCGCAAGTGGCGGCGACGGGGCCGTAGGTGGCGTCCAGGCCGCAGGTGGCGACTGCGTGGCCGCAGTTGGCGGCGACGGGGCCGCAGGTGGCGGCGACGGGGCCGCGGGTGGCAGCGACAGGGCCGTAGGTGGCGGCGACGGGGCCGCAGGTTGCGGCGACGGGGTCGCAGGTGGTGGCGACGGGGCCGCAGGTGGCAGCGACGGGGCCGCAGGTGGCGGCGACGGGGCCGCACGCGGCGGCGACGGGGCCGCAGGTGGCAGCGATGGGGTCTTAGAGGGGCCGCAAGGGGCCTAGACGGGGCCGCACAGGGGCCGCAAGGGGCCTAGATTGGGCCGAAGAGGAGCCGCAAGGGGCCTAAATGGGGCGGGGACGAGGCCGTAAGGAGCCGGAAAGGGCGCCGCGAGGGGCCGAAAGGGGGCCGCACGAGGGCCGTAAGGGCGGCGTGAAGGGCCGTAAGGGCAGCGCGAGGGGTCGTAAGGGGCCGTAAGAGCGGTGCGAGGGGTCGTAGAGGGCGGCGCGAGGGGCCGTAAGGGCGGCGTAAGGGGCCATGTGAGGGGCCACTAAGGGCGGCGCGAAGGTAGGGAGGGCACACAGAGCGCGACTCGGGCAGGAGTGAAGCGCGCTACGGGCAGGAAAAAAAAAATATCGTGGTGGGCCCTAGGTAGCGTTCTCACTAGGGAACCTGCTCGATACCATGATAAGAAACGAGGAATGAATGCATTGAGCAAATGGGGACTACAAGTAGTAAACCCCAAAGTGTTGTACCCCATAAGAATTGCTCCACTACAGCCTACACAGACTATAGCATATATGCCTGACAAGCGTGCGCATTCCAAATATGCCATGCCTTGAGAGTCGCCTTGGAGCCTTTCTGGTATGTCTTGAGTTGGTAGAGTTCTCCGTTGAGAGCTCCTTGTGTGAATTGCTTCCCTTTCCGAAAGATGTTCATCGTTGCACCATCGATGGTGACTTTCACGTCCTTCTTCGTGAGTTGAGTGACCGAGAGTAGATTCACCTTCAACCCCGGGACGTGAAGCACATGACGTCTCCTGGTGCGCCAACGTTGGTGAGGAACGATGTCGAGTGCGTCATGTGTTGCGTTGCGCCGGTGTCGAGGAACCACGCGTCGCTTGGAGTGTTAGTTACATCACCGGCCAACAAAACGATTAACTACATTGTATCATCCGCCTCGCCGGATGCTTGTAGCATGTTTTTTTTCGTATCATTCACTATAAAGCACATATAGGTATGTCATTATTGACGAGAAACGAGAATGGATGCATTGAGCAAAAAGGGGAGTACAAGTGGGAAACCCTAAAGCGGTCTACACACGTCCATATGAACAAGCGCGAGCAGGTCCTTAGCGAGGGGTGAGGTACGGCTACCAAATGGCTTTGAAGCCATCTTTCCTTCAACACACACTGCGCACACGCCCGTCTCGTCGTCTCCGGCAATCACGTCGACTCCCTTCGCAAGTCCTTTGTTGACCAACTCCTTGACCGACTCGTAGTTGGCGTTGATAAGAAACGAGGAATTAATGCATTGAGCCGAATGGGGAGTACAAGTAGTAAACCCTAAAGTGTTGTACCCCATATGAACTGCCCCACTACAGCCTACACAGACTATAGCATATATGCCTGACACACCCCCATAGGCAAAGTGGGGGAGAACAAGGGATCACAAGACCAGTCAAGCAAAGCAAGGCAACCTCAGGGTGGATCACAACGTCACCACACAGTCCGAGCACAAGAGTAAGGCCACAAGGCCAGTTCACATGCAAGATCATATATATAAAGGTAAACAAGCAAGTGCAGGTATAGAAAGAGGACAGTATAAGCAAGGTCAAGAACTGAGCAAGTGAGGCCAAGTAGGCACAAGACCTAGCATAACACAGAAGCGCTGATGATCACAAGGCGGAAGGGCCTTGGTAAAGATATCAGCAGTGTTGGCCTCAAAGGCCACGTAGGTGAGGCGCAGCTGACCACGCTGCTGCAGCTCACGAGCCAGGAAGTAGCGGAGAGCAATGTGCTTCGTTCTGTGCTCCAGTATATGCTCCTGACACAAGGCCAACATGGCCTTGTTGTCTACGTACAGAACTGGAGGAGAACGAGGCGGCTCTCCTAGGTCATTCAGCAGGTAGGTGAGCCAGCGTAGCTCCTGTGCAGCCATAGCCCCTGCGTAGATCTCAGCCTCACAGCTGGAGGTGAGAACAGAAGACGAACGGGTAGACCGCCATGAAACAGAGCCGGAGCCAAGGCTGAAGGTGTAACCCTGTGACAACCGCTGCAGAGGCTGGTCGTCAGCCCAAGAAGCGTCTGCGTGACCTGTGAGGACCACTCGATGTCGCCCTCCAAGCACTAGCCCCATGCCCGACGTACTGCACACGTAGCGCAACACCCTCTTTGCTGCAGCCATGTGCTCTGGTCGGTGTCTCCCAGGAGCAACATAGCGTGCCAAGATGCTAAGAGGGTATGCAAGGTCAGGTCGTGTGCAGGTCATCAGGTACATGAGGCAGCAACCAAGCTCTGGGTACGGGCCACTCGGCTCTACGGACTCATCCGAAGGCAGAGCTGAGAGCGAGTGGCGAGTAGACAGAGGAGTGGCCTGAGGCGAGGAGTACGTGAAGCCGAAGCGCTGAAGGACCTGCTGCACCATGTGTGACTGAGTCAGGGTAATGGTGCGCTGTGCTCTGTCCTGGGTGATCTACAAGCCAAGGTAGCTGCGCAGTTCACCCACGTCTGTGCACGTGTGTCTCTTCTGCAGCTCGGACTTCACGTGGGCAATTCCAGCAGTGTCAGCAGTAGCAAAGACCAAGTCGTCGACGTACACGAGGATGTAGAATGGCAGCAAAGAGGTGTCGGTGCGCAGAAACAGCGACGGGTCGGCAATAGAAGGAGCAAACCCAAGAGCTGCAAGTGTAGTCCTCAGTCTGTCGTGCCACTCACGGGGCGCCTGGTGGAGACCGTAGACTGGCTGCCGGAGGCTCCACTAGGTACCAGGAGGAAACGACCCAGTGAAGCCAGGTGGGCAGCGCAGCCAGATCTCCTCGTGCAGGCTGCCCTGCAGGAAAGCAGTGCTGAAGTCAAGAGAGTGAAGCTCGTAGTCGCGGTGAGCGGCTATGTGCAGCAGCACCCGAAGAGTGGTCATCTTCGGGGTGGGAGAGAAGGTCTGAAAGTAGTCAACTCCTTGCCGCTGATTGAAGCCTCAAGCCATGAAACGCGCCTTCAAGACAAGCGGAGAACCGAGCGGCCGCTTCACCCTGAAGATCCACATGCCACTAACGATGTTCGCCCTAAGTGGGGGAACCTCGTCAACGTAGGTGCCAGTGGACTTCCAGGAAGCCATCTCTGCATCCATGGCCGACTGCCACTGAGAGGAGTAGGGACCCTCGATCGCCTCGGCGTACGATCGAGGAGTCGGGAAGTGTGGTGCATCCGGGTCTCCCTCAGGGGCAATCAGCGTGGACACGAGATGGGGCAAAGCAGCAGCAAAGCACAAAAACTCCTCCTGCCTGTCCTCAAAGACGTCCGTGCTAAGAGCACACTCACCCCCGACGGACGGAGGACAGACAGACTCAGACTCAGCAACGAGACTAGCAGCGTAGTCTAGATGACAGCGAGCAGCAACGTCGATAAGGTCAGCAACTAGGGCAGACGCAGCAATGGACTCAAAGGAAGGGTCAGTGACAATCGTAGCAAGGAGACGCGTGACCGAAGGACTAGCAGCATGAAGAGAGTCAGACTCAGGGTTAGCAAGAGTATGAAGAGAGGACTCTGGAGGAGACGGCAACGGGACACGCAGAGGAGCAGTGGAAGGACGTAGCACCATCTGGTGTGTGCCGGGGACCGCAGGAGGACGTGGACGCGCAGTACAACCACTAGTGCGAGCAGCACAAACAGGCGACGCAGGACGAGACGCCGGCTCACGACGCTCAGCAAGACCTCCAGTAGGACCAGCGTAGGGAGAAGGAGCAGGTAGAGGGGAGGCGGGCTGTAACTGTGCCTGCGACTGGACAGGCTGTGGACACTCTAAGCTGCGACCAAGAGAGGGCGGGAGACCAAGAATCTGCTCCAGGAGCGGAACGAAGTATGGCCTCGGCCGTCAGCGCCTCCAGAACTAGCAAGGACGGCACCAGTACCCCCCGCGGCAGCACCAGCGCCAGCAGCACCTCCAGCTCCACCACCGCCAACTCCAGCCCCTTTAGAAGCATCAGCGCCAACAGCACCACCAACGCCAACAGCCCCAGCAGCTCCAGCTCCAGCAGCACCAGCTCCAGTAGGACCGTCAGCTCCTGCAGCCTTAGCAGCACCCCCAGACGCTACAGCGCCAGTAGAAACACCAGCGCCAACACCCCCAGCAGCTCCAGCTCCAGCAGCACTAGTACCGCAAGCAGCTCCGGGAGAACCAACTCTAGAAGCCCCAGCAGCACCCCCAGTCTCAGCAGCACGTCTCCAGCGGCGAGCAAACCACTCGCGCAGATCCTGTGGATAGAGTGGCTCCCGCGTTAACGAAGCACTGCCGGCGACCACACGAGCAGACCCACCGCCCTTAGGCTCGGCACCCCCAGGGTCCGCACCTCCAGGCTCCGCACCCCCAGGCTCCGCACCCCCAGACCTAGCACCCCAAGGCTTAGCACCCCCAGACTCAGCACCCCTAGTCTCAGCACCCCCAGACTCAGCACCCCCAGACCCGACACCCGCAGGCTCAGCAACTCTAGCAGCACCAGAGTCAACAGCTACCTCGACAGGCTCGACTGCGTCTACCTGGGACACACCTGACAAGCAGGACCCTGAGGGGGGAGGGGGTCTACCGGGGGAGGACCTGGCGCAAGGAAGAGCGGCGGCGGGGGGAGAGGCGCAGTGCGGTAGGGGAAGAGGCGGTAGAAGGGGACGGACTCGTCGAACGTGACGTCCTGGGAGGACAGAACACGGCGCGAGGTGGGGTGGTAAAACTGCCACCTAGGCGCGTCAGGGGGGAAGCCAAGGAAGACGCAGGGAACAGCACGGGGGGAGAGCTTGTCCGCTGACAAGTCGCGGACAAACGCCCGAGATCCCCAGACCCGCAACGCAGACGCATCGCCAACCTTCCTGGTCCACCGCAAGGCTTCTGGCAAGGAGATCCGGGGCTGAAGGTTGAGCTGATGCGCGGCGTACTGAACCGCAAATGGCCACAGAAAATGGGGGGCAGCCGCATGCATCATGGACGTACGAGCGACGTCCATAACCATGCCAATGCGGCGCTCAGCAATCCCATTTTGCTGTGGAGAGGCCGGAAGCGTGAAGGTCTAGCGGATGCCCTGTGCACGACAAAAGGCTCCCAGACGGAAAGAGGAAAATTCCCCGCCTCTGTCCGAGTGCAGACGCAAAACAGGAAAGTCCGAGCCGAAACTCTCTCGGAGCTGGAGACGAGCTGTGCAGATCCAATCGATCAACACCTCAGTGACGTCACCCTTGCTGCGCAAGGGGAAGACTGTGGTGTAACGCGAGTAGTCGTCAACCACCAGCACGAAGTACCGCTCGTGCCCCTGCCCACTGATGCGGGCGGGGCCCCACACGTCTATGTGGAGAGTCTGCTGCGGAGGCTCTGGCGGAGGAAACTCGGAGGAGTGAGGGGCGGCGCGCTGTCGCCGCTCGACGCAGGGGACGCAGGTAGGGCCAGGCCCCGGAGGTAGGGGAGGGAGAGACCGAGGGAGACCAGAGACAAGGACACGGGAGGCCATGCCTTGAAGACGAGGCTGGGAGGGGTGACCAAGGCTGTGGTGCCAAAGGAGAGTCTTGTGGGACAGCAAACGACACGAGCAGGGAGCAGAATCAGGACCAGACCTGGACGCTGCACCAAACACGTGACTCGACGCAGCTACCTGGTCAGACTCAGCACCTGGAGGAGACTCAGTAGTAAGGGTGTACAGGCTCGACCCTGGCCGACGGGTGAACGTGGCCAAGTGTCGGCCTGTCCGAGCTCACGTGCAGTGGGTCACTCGCTGACTCGCAGGAGTGAACTGGTCAACCTCCCTATCCTGTAGGTCCACTCCACTCAGCAAGTTCGTAGAGAATGAGGGGAGGTAGAGACCTGACAGGGTGCTAGAGGGGTCT